CCGCGGGCGGCGGCCGGGGACGTCGAGGCGGTGCACCTGTCGATGCCAAGGCCCCATCCGCACCAAGTACCACGGCTGTCGCGCCCAGGTGCCAGGGGCGGATCGCCCCGAAGGGACGAGGGGCTGCCGTGGCGCCAAGGTCCATGGGCGGACCAAGCGCGGGTCAAGGCCCTCAAGGTCGCCCGGACGCGGGCCCAAATAGTCCGGAGGCCCGTCCTCAGGCGCCTCATCCGAGTCGCCCGTGTCCGCCGGGCGCGGCGCCCAGGCTGGGCAAAAGATCGCCAGCGGCGGGTCCATGCCGAACCGGTCGTCGATGGAACCCGCCCGGAGGGCGGTATCTTCTTGCAGCCAGTCAGCGTGGCGACGAGCCAGGCGGAACATCAGATGCAAAGCCTGGGTGTCGCCCGGCACGTCGGTCGGCGAGCACCGGATGACGTCCGCCGAGTGAGGGCGGCGCCAGCCCTCCAGGTAGGGGTCGACGAACTCGCGCCTCCAAACGCCCAGAGTGGGGGCGGAACAGCCGAGTTCAGGCACGCCCGTGATCCGGCGGGCGCGTAGATACCACCGGAGGGTCCGGGATGGGCGAGCCACGGCGAGCAAATGCTCCCAAGCTGTGCGCCCGTGTCCCCAGTCGGCGTTGGAGATATCGCCCGCGAAGGCGTTGGCGTCGACGAAGAACGCGTGCACCTGGGCGGGCTGGGCCAGCAGCAAAGGAGGGACCGCCATGGCGTGACGACCTAGAGAGTGGCGGCGGGGGCGACGGCGATTGAGCAGCTCAAGTCAACCAGGCGGTCGCACATGCCAGAGAGCGCCTGCTGACTCCCACGGTGACGACGCCACCCTGACCCTTCTCTTTTTCAGTCGGACTCGGAGGTGGAGCCGCCCGCAGAGGACGAGAGCTCGCCCACCGCCTCCGAGGAGGAGTCCGAGTCTACGTGCTGAACCCCAGGGTCACCTGCTGAACCCGACGGGAAGCACCGCTTGCACAGCCTAGCCCCCGGCGGGGCGGCCGAGATCCTAAAGAACTGGCGGGAGCCATAAGGCCATCCACAGCCGCGGGCCCTCCACGTAGCCCTGTCGGAGTTCTGCTCCGTGGGGTCGGGCCGATGGACCCTCTTCGTCTTCTCCAGGTAAATCAGGTGGGCGTCTTCCCGGTCGGCATCCGGGACCGCCGCCCCCGGCGCAAGGGCGGGGACGAACTGGACGACGGGCAAGGCCGCCTGCTGGGCCGGCTCCCCTGCCGCGGGGTCCGCCGTATCCGTGCCTTCTGCCTCCTGCTGGGCGTCGGCCAGAGCGGGAAGGTCGGCCTGACCGGGGGCCCCCTGCCCCGGCAGCGCCGCCGCTACTACCTGGCCCGGGGCCAACTGCCCGGCTTTCTTCCGGGGCGGAAGGCGCCAATGTCAATGGCGCAGCCCCAGAAGCTGGATAACCGCCAGGGGCACGCCCCGGGCGGCCAGGAAGGTCGCCCCGGCTACGCGGCAGGCGTGGCCGCCGAAGACCGGCCGTTGTACCCCAGCCGGGTCCTTCCAGCTAACCTCGAGGCCGGCCGCCCCCAACAGCAAGGCGAGGAACGAGAGGGACTCCGGCTTGGACCTGGTGCCTCCCGAGGCGCCCGGGAAGAGAGGCGCCGACGAGCGAAGGCGCCCAGCCTTCTAAAAACGCGCGAAGTGCCGGAACATGGCGTGGACCGGGCACAGGGGGTGCGTGGGCACGCCGCAGGCGCAGCGCAGCGAGCGTCGAGTCATGACCCGCTCGCCGCCCTGGGCGGTTTTGTGGAGCGGTAGCTCCAGCGTCACCACGTGCTTGGTGAGCACCACATCGCCGACGAGTGCCCCGGCGATTTCGATCTCCCGGAGCATGAACCACGTGGCCAGAACCAGGACGTCGGTGGCGTGGGGGACGACGGCCGGGTCGAAGGCGAGGTCGCACCGATAGGTCACGAGGGCGCCCAGGTCGGCGAGGGGGAAGGCCTCTTTGAGACGAGTCCCCGGGAGGCCGCGCACGATGGACTTCACCGCCCTATTGGCCAAGCGGCGTAGGACGGGCGAGACCTCCATCCCAAGGTCGTGCTCCTGGTGGCGGAAGGCGGCCAAGAAGTACTCCTTGGCACTGCGGTAGCCCCCCTTCTTGAAGGCCGCCCCCAGGGCCTCGATGGTGTCGGCGGACACCGGCCAAGGATCGACCTTGCCCTGGTAGGACAAGGCCATCCACGTTTTGAGCCGGGACGCGTAGGGCCCTTTCGAGGTCTCTGCCAGGTAGCCGTCGCGAAGCTCCTCGACGGACCGCTTGCGGTTCGCCGGCAGCAGGGCGTCCAAGGCCGCCCGAAGGTTCGCCCGCAAGGGCACCCTCCGGCGAGGGACGTCCGGCCTTCCCGGATCCTGGGTCGACGACACCAGGGCCAAGTCGGTAACCACAGCTGGCGGCGGCGGGGCGGCCAGCAGCGCCTCAATGGCCGCCGGCGGTACGCCCGCGGCTGCCAAGGCGTCGATGCGAGAGAAAAGGTCGGGGATGCACCTCACACCCGCCGCCCGCACAGCCGGCAAGTGGTCGGTCTGGCCCGCCCGTTGCGCCAGGGCGACCAGCTCGGCGAACGAGCCCCGAGGCGGTTCCGCCATGTCGACTCCCACCTTAGACAACTGAGCCAAAGTACCTCGAGCCAGGCCCTGCGAGGGGCTTGAGCAGTCGAGCCAAGCTTAGGGAAGGGGGAGGGAGGGAAGAGCACAAAGCACAGGCCGAGACTTTTGACCGCGCCCGCGAAGGCGGTGAGATGCAAAACGGGCGGACGCCCCCAAAGAGTGAGACGGCCGCGACGGCAAAGATGTAGGTGCCGGCGAGGTCGAAGTAGCCGCGCCAGACGACCAGAGAGCCCCGCCGTGGCGAAGTCAGCGGTCCCGCTCGCCCGGAGAATCCGGGGCGCACCTGGCGCACTGATGGTGCGAATGAGGCCGCCCCGTCACCGGCGGGTAGCTAATAGGGCGGAGGCATCGCCCGGCGTAGGGGCACCGACAGCCCGATGCCGGCCGCCACCATGGGCCAGGGCATTTGGCGAAGCACCACCCTATGAAGTAGGTGCCATCGGACGGCGGCTCGCGGGGCAGCTTGCCGCCCTGGACGTTCGGCGGCAAGCTCCGGAGGAAGATGCCCGCCACTGTCGAGTTGGGCGGGAGCACGTAGCTGCCGTCGGCGACGCTGCGCTCCAGGGACTCCGCCCGATCCCATGTATCAGCAGCCGCCCCGTCGAGGCCGAAGGGCATCTCGGAGTCGAAGAAATCCGCCCCAGGGCGATGCTTGGCCTGCCGATAGCGCTCCCACCGCTCCCTGGCAGTCATTGACGAGCCAGGCTGGCGATGCAGGGACCGGTTTTTGGTCCCGTAGCCGCCCCGGCCACTGGGCGGCACGCCCGCACAGGCGGAGGACGCTCCAGACGAGGATGCCACCGGAGGCGGAAAGGGCGAAGGCGAGGTCGGCGGCGTAGTCGACGATGAGGCGGCCTGCGGCGGGACGCCCGCTGAGGCGCTGGGCGGATGGTCTCGCTCAGGATCCGCCCCACTCTGCGGGACGATCACCTCCGGCTCCGCATGCCCAGCCGGCTTGGCCGGGGGCGGCGGCGACGTCATCTCACGCATCTCGCGCTGGATGCGGAGCTGGAGCATCTCGTCATACGTGACGTCGAAGCCCAGCGGTCCCATACCAGCAAGCGCCCGGAGGGCGTTCTCCTGGGATATCGCCCGGCGCTGCCGCTCGTAAGGCGTAGGCTCCTCAGCGGCCGGTGCAGCAGCCGGTGGCGGGGCCGGCGCCTTCTTCACTGGCGGAGGCCCCGACGAAGGCGCCGCCGAACCAAACATGCCCGACGGCTGGCGTGTGCCTGCCCCTTGGGCTCCCGCCCCCGTGGCCGGCTCCACCACCAGCGGGGGAGGTGGCGCCTTGACGAAGGGCTTGACGATGGGGGCGATAGCCTGCCCGGCCAACTCAGGCCGAGGCGGCTTCTTCACCGGCTTGGCGACCACCGGCACAGTCTTCTCGCCCACGGACGTGGCCGAGGTGGTAGCCGACGAAGAAGGCGGTGGGGGGGGCGGAGGTGCCAGCCCCCGCTTGGGTCGCACGTAGGCGCCCGCAGGGCACAACGCCTCAAACGGCAGAGGCACAGTCGTGTCTGGCGGGGCCTTGGGCACGGCGCCCGAAAGGCCGGCGAGGTAGGCGTCCAACCCGGACTCGCCCTCCAGGTCGGCGTCGTCATCCTCCGGCACGGCGATGTTGGCTGCCGTCGCCGGCTCAGCGACCTGGTGCATCGCCTCTTGGTCGGTCCAGTACTGCCGGGCCTCCGCGGCGGACGGGCCGGGCACCACCGACGACTGAGCCCCAGGCGGGGCGAGCCAAGCCTCCGCGGGCCCTGCGTCCGGCGGGGCGGTCGAAGATGCCGAGGGAGCCGTCAAGGGCGGAGGCGTAGCCGACAATGTCGTGCCCGTCGGCGGGGTAATCCCGGACGAAGAGGACGGAGACGAAATAGCCGGCGTCGAGGGACCAGCCGTGGGCTGGGCCGCCGCGCAAGCCGCCATAAGGCGAGCCAAGTCGACTGCGGACAAGGCGCCCACAGCTGCGGCGAGCTCACCGTCTGACGCCCCTGCCGCAAAGGTCGAAATGAAGACATGCGCCTCAGTCTGCGTGGCAGCATGTGTGCCGCCAGCGGCGCCAGAAATGCCCGGGGCGGGCGAGATGAAGCCGGTGATGATCTCTTCCTCCTCGTCGCCCGACTGGACGTCCGCAGGCAACGGCGGCGCCCAGTCGAGCACCTCGGCCTCAGCAGCCGTAGTTGCCGCCTGAGCAGCGGCGGCGGAAGGCGAGGCGGCGGAACCAGTCGACATGACCAGAACACGGCGAGGCGAAAGGACGAGGGGAAACAGAAAAAGCGATCGAGCCGGCGTACTGCGGTCGATCGCTAGTGCTTGTTCCTACTCGCACACGTGCGCTACACCACAACCCGCACTTCTCTGGCAGGCTGCCTCCGAGGGCACAGTAGGGTGCAACCATGGGCATGGCGTACAGCACCTCGTCCTGCGGCTTTGAAAGATCACAGCTTTGGGCAGCTTGAGAAGAAGGTGTCAAAGCTCGCTCGATCTTTTCAGTCCTCCGGCTGGGGTTGTCCGGTGAGAAGATCGAGCTGCGGAGGCCTCGGCGTCACGATGGTGGCTTTCCCGAAAAACTGTGGCCAACCTGGGCTGCCGCACGAATCCGCTCGCTCCGCGTCGCAGCCCACCTTCAACACCTGCCCCACCAAACACGACACAGCCATCTTGAGCCAGACTGAAGCTTGAAATGTGCACCTCGTCTCGATTGGGCCTCAGGCACGAGGGCACAGGGACTACTTCAGGCTTACTAAGGCTCGGGGCCCCCTTCATGACGCTCCGTTGTGAAAATTGACGGTCAGAGGACACTCCTCTTCGGGCTAGCGAGTCTGTAGCTTGGGTTTATTCAAAATGGCATCTCATTGTCATTTCCGCCGCCGGGGTTGTTAGTTTTTGTCAACGCTGAGCCTTTTCCCGACTGGTATCATTGAAAGCTGGACTGCCCGAACAAAGCCACGAGGACAGGTTTGTGGGTCTCCATTCTCGGCAAAGGAGTGCGAGTGGGAGGCAAGTTCTGGTCGCATGCTCTCAAGCCACGTACATGCGCTCAGAGGTTGTCTCGATCCTCTCTCAGGCGCATGCAGTCGACGTGGCAGTTTCCTCGCCGCATGCAGTCTGCAAGAAACTCTGGTTGTTGCGGCCTGTCTTGCCGCGCCTTTCGTTTGCCTCCTTCTTTGGCTGTGCTGCCTGAGATCGGAGAAGGTGCAAGAACTGCTCGACTGCACTAACAGTATAACAGTGTAAGTGGGCCACATTCTGCTCACCAGTCGTCCCCGTGCTAGCCTGCGCATGCAAATTCCCCACAACAAAGGGCTCTCGCAGGTTGCCTCACACGTGCCCCTGTGCCTGCACAGCGTCGCCGCTTGCTTCCGTGCCGCCTGTGCCCCTGAGGTTCAACCGTGGCAAGGTCACAGAAGGCAGAGACTCGCTGAGGATCCAACCCTGAGGCGGCTATGCAACTCTCTTTGGCCGCGTCGCCTTTTTTTGAGATGCAGGGGCGTTTTGTCAAGGAGCCAAGCGGAAAGGGAGCGTCCGGTGAGTGGGATGGGCACCCGGCCTCCAGCTCTCTTGATCTTCCGGCCTCACCGCACACGGTTCTGAGTGTAAGCGACGTGAAGACAATCCGGGGACACTGCTGCCAAGAAGAGCCAGCCGTAGCTCGCGCTCATCCTCGTCCTGGCCCACAGTACATCCACCTTTGGACCCCCGACTTTAGCAGATTCCAAGAAGGTAGACGTGCTGCAACACAGCGCTTCCTTTTGAATTACATCTGCAGTCCTGATCAGCATACTTCTCCCTCATCTTCTTGGCCTGCCACGAGCTTGTGCCGTTGGGCCAGCCAGCAGCGTTGTTGCACAGATGGTCAGGAGCTGTGTTTGCAGCATGAGGGTTCCTCGACCCTCAGCTTGAAACGAAACCATACGAAACTTAAACCCAAAACCCTAAACCTTAAAACCCGAAGCCATACAGCTGCTCTGCTTAGGTTGACTGCGGACCCGACCTTGGATTTCTGCCCACGAGGAAGCTGCTCAGTGCTTGGCCTGGCGTCATGGGATTTAGAGCCTTCAAGTTTGGGAGTTTGGGTAATGGGAGGGCAAAAGGGGGGTTTAAGATTCTTGGGTTAGGGATTCCTTCATATGAACCCTATTATGGGAACCCCAATACCTGCTAAACCCCCGCCCTCTGGGGCCCCGGCCCCTTCGACTTGGGATCCGCAGACTTTTTGGTTGTTTCCGGCTCAGCCTAGGCTGGAGGATGAGAGGTATCATGCTTTCTGAGACTATGTTGCACTATGTCATACTCTATCACGTTACGTACATCATGTTCTCTGTTTTGTTTTAGTGTACTATACTATGTTATATTCTATTGTCTTGTATTGTAGTACTTCTACCAAGGCCCGGCCTGATCCTCCTCGGCGCTATCCTTTCTCTGACGCCTCAGGAGCAATGCTGACTGAGTCTGTGAATCCCCCATCAACATTATAAGAACAAATAACATTAAATGAGCGAATATAGTATATAGTATAAGTACCGTGTATATAGTATAGTGTACAGCGTTGTATTAAAAATGCCGTGTAGTATAGTCTAGTACCGTATAGTACAGTGTCGTATCATATCGTGCCATACAGCAGCCTTAGAAGAACTGCTATATACCAACATAGTCTTTAATATACTGAAACACATCATAACACATTGTCGAAAACCGAATATAGGATCATATACGGTAACACAGTCTGATACGGCATATTAAAACATGAATTAAAACATGAAGTACCAAAACATGCTAAAGCACTATGATGTTTCAAGCTTGCACTGTCATATACAATAACAAAATTAAAAAAAATCACATAAAACAAAGCGTTATACCAAAAGATACTTTACTCACCTACAGACCTGCATGTGATGTACTTCCCTTTGAGTAATGTAATTAAATGTAATATACTGCAATACAGAAACAGATTACTATACTGTGACCTAATGTATAACACGAAAATGTGTTCTATGTGACAAGCCCAGGTACCTGCGCTCGGCTCGCGAAATTCTCATCTTACCCCGGCTCTTCTCGGTGTCATCTGCTTCTTGGCTGCGACTCGCTGCAACTTCCTTGCAGTCCTCTTCATCTTCAGTCTTATCTTTGTCGTCTTCCTTATCCTGATCCTCCTCTTGGTCATCTTCCATGGTAGCCTGCTCTGCTTCTTCCTCTTCACCTCAGAGTCGGGATCCACGAGAAGAAGTCGGAACATGAGGGGCTCTTGGTCTTCAGGCGATCTGGGCGAGTCACTTGCAGCAAGCTCATGGTCGCTGTCAGCGACCACTTCTTCCATCTCCTGCCAAGCATTGAGAGGCAGCTCGATCCCTTCGTCACAAGGAGACGAAGGCCTCTTCTGAGGCTTTCGGCTTGTTGGCCATCGCCTCTAGATACCGGCTCTTGCGCTCGCCCTGGAGGCAGAGTTTTCATGATGCAAGCTGCCATATTCCATGATGGTCCCTGTGCCTTGTGCCGCTCGGCACAGGTCTCTGAGACCTGGAATAGGAGTGTCATGCCCATCCTGAGTCGACATGCTGCCATGCCGGGTATGATGCAAAATGAGTTTCAATCGGACAAGCACAGCAGCAATGGCAAATATCACTCCACAGCATGAAGCTGAGTGACTCCAAGTGTAGCGGTGGCATAAACTGACGACGGCCGGTGACATAGAAGTCATCCACACAATGGTGATCCTCATCTGGAGCTTTGCCTCAGTTGCTCAAACCAGCTTGGTGCCGAAGGCCGGAAGTTACTGCACTTTGGTCTCATGCGCCTCGCGAGACCTGCGTGATGGGCACCCACCATGCGGAGATGACAATCTGCTTATCCCAAGCAGTGCTGTGGCAAAGCGCGAGGGTACCGGCTTCGCGGAGAGTGGCAGGAGGGACTTCTCCACCTCACGGGTCGGAGGCGAGAAAATCTTGAAGGATAGCTCTGGCGACTACAAAAAAGACAGCGACAGCGGAACACACTGCACGGGGCCTTCCGGGTTCCGCACAAAGCACGTCCGAGCTCCTGCAACATCTGCCTGGATGAAGGCATCCTTTTCGCCAAGGTGCTTCAAAAAGAGCTGCTCTGTCTGCACCGCATCGTGGCCAGCCACGACGAGGTAGTTCCTGAAAGAAGAGAAAAATGATATGAAACATAGCGGCTATGATTTCGGTCAGTGTCGCAGTCAAGCAGCTCAGATGAGACAAACCAAATAAACTTCTCGAACCACCATGTCTGACGCACACGCCGAATTGTTTGCTTCAAGTCGAACTTCTGCAGATCCTGGTGTGCCTTTCTCTCGGCACTCTTTATGGCCGCTTCGGCGTGCGTCTGCGTGCGCGAGGTCTTGTCCCGTGTTTCTTTCCTTTTAGAGTGTAGGCGTGCAACATTGGCATGCGCAGACAAGTTCAGGTTTAGCGCAACGACTTCCATCGGCTTGTCATCAGTGCCTTCGTCTTCGACTTGTTCTTGGTCGATGTCCGCCAATAAGATCTTGAACTCGTTCTGTTCCAGATTCATGGAGTGAATATGCTCTGCGATGGGATGTCCCAAGCGCTGCTGGCGTTTCACCTCGCGCCAAAGTTCGGTCCAATCCACCTGGGATGCCAGCATGGCATTGATCATCTGGAGCGCTCGGTCGACGAGTTCGACGTTCGCTTCGATCAAACTCGCCTTGCGCTCCGAGGCTTCCTGCTCGGCCTCGAGCTCTTGAAGCCGACGTCCTTGATCCGCGCGGATCCGGTCGACACGTGCCATGACGCTTTGGGCGTGCTGTGCCTTTTGCTCAACTGCCTTGTTCTCCTCAAGCTGGGTGAAGAACTCGTCAACACATCTGTGGAAGCTTGGAAACGAAAGGACAGCGTCGGCTTCTTCTGGCTGCGGTGGCTCCAGCGGACTGAACTCTTCGTTAGCCCAGGTAGCCTCTGCAGGTGGGGTGTGCACCTTCTTTCGTAGAATCCAGCCAGGAACCACCGGTGCATCAGCCTCTGGCGGCGCACCGCGCTTGATGCCTGCCTCAGCCCCAGGCTGTGCCTGTGCCTCGTCTTGAGGCTCCGCTTGAACATCTGCTTCGTCCTCGTCGTCTTCGGCATCATTCACATCATCATCGGCGGCTTCTGCCACCGCCAGAACAGGCATGCTGCCACCCCCTAAATCGTCCGGCCGTGACACGCTGCGCAGCGTGTCCAGGAGCATCTCCGCAGAGGACTGCTCCAGCTCCACTAGCTCCTCAAAAGACATGTCATCCACCGTTATCTTGAACCTGGGCAGTAGGTCGAGGCCTCCCAACCGTACTTATGCATGGGCACATCTCTGTAGGATTACAAAAAGACTCTCAAAGTCCCACCCAGAAACGCGTTCTGAACGGGTTTGCCATTCGCCGCAGACACTTTGGCCACGCAGCTGGCGCACAGCGCAGGATCTGCAAATGGCGCGAGCTTATGCAGCAGCATCACCACAGGCATTGCGCTGTGCTGCACTCGCTTTCTGGACTTCTTGGCAAAAGCGGATTCCACCCCTTTCTTCTTGTCTTTGGCCGCCTTCTCGTCGTCCATCTCAAGCTCCCTCACCTCTTGATTCTCAGCGCGAGCAGAGGCCAGGTCTAAGATGTCCTCGATCTCCTCCGAGAAGTCTGCCAAAGGCACCTTCAGCAGCCCCATGGCCTTGTCGACCGGATACGTCTGACGCATGGCCACCTTCGTCTCTTGGTCCGAGTGCACTCTGAGCAAAGCCAGGATTTGGTACTCGCTGTCGGTGAGGATCAAGTTGCCAGTTACATAGATCTCCAGGATCAAATGAAAAGCTGTCTCACCGCGGCCGAACTGGAAATCGACCGCACGATCCGCTCCCAGTTGACTCACGTTCGTCAGCCGTTTGTTGCGCAGATGCTTGCGCAACTTCATGGTGTAGTTCGATGGGATCGACGATTTGTCTCGCTGGTACTCCGTTAGGTGAAATCGCACGCCGCTTTCCAGGAGAAGCAAGCATCTAAAGCCTCCGGGGACAAAGCTGCTGCGGACGGGGTCTCCCGTCAATGCAACATGAGATCAACTGTGACCCCTGCCTTTGCGCTGAAGCTTCAGCAGATAAACCTTGGAATTTATGTCATAGATATTGGCCAGCTTGCACCCGACGGCCGAGGGACGAATCGAGTTCACCTCAGGACGCATGAACCAATGAGGTCTTAGCTTGTCTTCTTAATTGTAATTTACGTAACGAGCCTGTGGGTGGTATTGCCACTACCAAGATTACCTACATGCACGATGACGCTGAGGAGTCTAGAGACTGGTGGCAGAATGTGGCAGAAGCATAAGTTGTCCTCGTCGTCGTCCTAGTCATGTGGCACATGGAGCAGCAGCAACTGCAGTAGCAATAACAGCAGTATAAGCCGGTAATGGCCATCGCGATAATTGAGCAGGAGGTGCAACAGTAAGAGCCAGAGTAAGATCCGGAGTCGCAGTAAGAGCAAGAGTAGGAGCTGGTTATGCTGCTGTTGTAGTTGGGTTGCCGCTTTTGCAGTTGTTGTAGAAGTATTGGCAGCCAAGAGGCCATCGCTCGGACATCCACCGAAGAAAACCGTGTTTTCACCATGGCTTACCAAGGGCGAGGGGAGGCACATGTGAGCCTCACGTCTTTGCATTTAGTACAGCCAGAACACCATGTCAGTGACGGTAAGTCTGCTGAAAATATGCTGTGGGTGAGTCAGATGCTTGAGTTGTTGAATGGAGCTGGTCGATTAAGCCACTTCGCCTCGCTATGCTGGCTATTTTTCTTGCCGAGAGCTCTTCGACGGAGAACGGTTGTCGCTGCGGCAGACACTTGCAATTCAAACACGAGGAGTTGGAAGCTGCCACAGTCACAGCTGCAACTCTGTCCAGGGCCTCGTTCGAAGGCTTCTGCAGCAGTACGCCACAGAAACGCAGCGTAGAATACACCTGTGGAGGATCGCACAACGTCGCTGCGGATCCTGTGCCATTCACAGCGGTCCTCTTCTGCCGTGCGCTCCATATCCACCTTAAGGAGCTGGTGGAGCTTCTCCACGATCCTCCTCACATCCAGAACTTGATGCCTTGTACCTCCAATCTTATCTTTGCCAAGTCCTCATGCACCGCAGCCGTCGCCGCGCACCACCTCGAATCTTCATCACGTCCTGACAGACTCCACTCGCGCAGTAGAAATTCTCAAAACTTTATCACGCCAGAATCGAGCAAACAGCTGTTAAATAGCTGGCTCAAGCATCACTACCTTGCAGCTGGACACATGATAACGAGAATCAAGAACCATCACGCAGGACCGGCATGATGTTCTGTGTCAGACCGAGGGCTCGTCAGAAGCACTGGACATTGTGCAGTAGTTCAAAAAAACATATTGCGTGCAGCACAAGGTAAATCAACAATTGTCAGCAAACCCGTTGAGCTGGGCCAAACTGCCGGGTGATGAAGAATGCACATGCCGCTCCAAAACCCGATGCACAAAGCTCTGAAGCGCAAAGGACCAAGCAAAAGGATAAGGTGGAAAAGCCCTCAATCACCACTAAAGAAACGACATCGTGCCCTCCTGCTTTCTCCCAATAACCCCGTACCAGCCGAACACTCGGGCAGATGCTGTTTTGCCAGGGTAGGTTTGCGCGCTCTCTAGGAGCTTCTAGTCAGATTGTAAGTACGACTCCGACAGCACATCTGTAGCACGGTGGGAGGCAAAATCGTCATAACCCGAAATCGCTCTCTTCACTGGCCGATGTGGCAGCTAGACTAGTACTGCAAGCCAACCTTTCGCTCACCAAAAAAGTCCTGGCCCAGACTATAAGTACGACAGAGACTGCACATCTGTAGCACAGTGGGAGGCACAAGCCGGATAACATGGCAAATGCTCTCTGCACTGGCCGATGTGGCAGGAAGAGTTTGCCTCACTCAGCATTGCCATGGCACCGGAATCCGCCTCGATGCAGCGGGTGCTGCAGAACGTTTCTGTGATGCCAAGGTCTTGCACCCCCAGCAAGAAACAGCGCTAACTTACCCACAGTCTTGACCCCTGCCTATAGGCTCTGCGACCTGCGCTTTGCTGCAGGTGTGGAGTTCACCTCGTCCACGGCAAAGGGCCCATGTGGGCCAAGTGCCCGGACCCGAGCGTGATGAGGCTGGCCGAAGGTGTGCAAGCCCCACCGCGGAGCCTCGAAGGTCTCAACAGCTTTGTCCGGGAAGAACTTGAGCTCCACCACCTGGTGACAGCGAGAGATGACAGCAACAAGGACTGTAGGAATCACTACATAAACTGCTGAAAGCTTACGACAACTACGGGGAAAGCCCACCGGCCTCAACACGACTCTCCCACTTTGTGATGCGAGTGAGCTGTTGCTTCCGGCGGCCGCAGAACACGAACATGCCCTGCTGCAGCTTCCCAGCTTCCGTCTCCGTCGGCAGTCCACCTGGCCCCGCCACGGCCACCCGATGATCTGCTGTGATGGTGAGGCTGGCCTGCGATGTGTGCATGGTAATCAGGTCCAGTTTGGCACGCCCGTACTTCACCTTCGACATGATCTGAATCTTTTGGCCAGAGATCCCCAGAATTTCTGAATTTACCTCAAGCTTGTCTGCTGTGATGTACTCACCAGAGCCCTTCTGAAACAAAGTGGCGTGCAAGTAGCATCTCCGCACAGTCGATACGTGCCCCACCAGCTCAAAGTCGCCATCACTGCTCGCGCTCAAGGAAACGTCAGACACCTGACGCCGAATCATAGGAGGATGTTGCGATGGATCCGGCACGAGGACGAGGAGTTCACTGGGTGTGCCGGCAAAATTCTGCGTGGAACTGCCGCGAGCTGTACTGCGTGGAAGAAGAGGCTTTCGCATGTCACTGCCAGCATGTGGCTGCGGTGCATTGCCAGCACGTGGCTGCGGCACATTGTCAGCATGTGGCTGCGGTGCATTGCCAGCACATGGCTGCGGCGCATTGCCAGCACGTGGCTGCGGTGCATTGCCAGCACGTGGCTGCGGTGCATTGCCAGCACGTGGCTGCGGTGCATTGTCAGCATGTGGCTGCGGTGCATTACCGGCGGGTTGCTGCGCGGCATTGCCGGCTGGTTGCTGCGCGCGGGCATTGTCGGCCTTTCTCCGCGTATGCATGAAGAACCCAACAAATGCCGCGACTGCAAGCACCACACCTGCAATCACGACCACAGCCACAATGCTGCCTTCCTTCACCTTTTCAATTCTGATGTGCTGCTTGATGCCACGTATCCGCAAGGCACCCAGACCTAAAGCCTTCAGAATGGACTCCTTCAACTGGTCCTCATATGTGCTTGGGTCTTTCGTGTACTCTTGAAAGTTTTGGCCGATTCTAATCTCGAACATGGACTCACCTGGCTTCAAGCTTGCCGAAAAATCTTGGTCTAGACTGGCCACCTCTGTTTGCCCCCGAAGGCTATACTTGCCCTTGCATCGACAGTGCAGCACTGGCAGAAGCTTTGAAAGCTCGCTTCTGAGGTGCTCCTCGAGTTGTGCTGCTGTCATGACCGGAATTCCGTTGTCCAGAAGGAATGCTTCGACTTGCGACTTGTGAATGCGGAACTGCAAGCCTTCGAGCTCACTTTGATACAGAATCGGGACTCTGGTTTCGGTGCCTGTGCTGTCAGGCTGGGGCCATGCTTGAAGTTGAAGATCATCCTGAGTCCGTGTTTGCAGCTCCTCTTGAAGCTCTGGCTGATGTTCTTCGCATGTGTCCAGCAAACGCGACAGCCCAGCGACTCCGACAAGCTGAATGCCACAACATTCATAACGCTGCAGGTATCCTGCATCCTCAGCTGCCCAGATAGACTCACACACCTTGCTCAAACCACGCTTGGCACCCTTCAAGATTGGATTCTGCACGTCCTCTTGAGCGAGATACTTGCCACATGTGTAGCCAGCAGGAGCAGCAAGCATGATAGGGTGTTGTGCCACTGCACAAACGACAACAGTTGTGGCTGCAACTGCCAGCTGCAAGGTTGAGTCACTCTCGGTTGAGTCACTCTCGGCTGCGCTTCTCGAGTGTGTCTGTCCCATGTCGGTGGCACACTGACAAAGCCCGCCGATCGATTGAGCCGCTGAGCTTCCGGTCGCACATGTACCAAGCAACCACAGGAAATCCCACAGAGAAGCCAAACGGGGCCGTAAGCCCAACAAACTCCACCGCACTTCTAGATGCTTTGGAGCCAAACATCCCTCAAGAAATCTTCAAAACACGTTTAGGACTCAAGCCCAAAGCCTCCGGTACACCTTCTAGCCCGCCAAAGCCCACGTCATTTCAGCCCTCCAAGCCAGCCTCCACCCATCGAGTCGCATCCTCGTCCTGCCGCTGCAGGCTGCTCGGACTGAACTCGACGATCTCGGTTGCTGCAGTCGCCATCGCGTGGACCTTTGCATGGCACCGGTTTTTGTGGGTTTGGGTTTGGGGGGGTTAGGTGTTGGCACGCTTGGCACTGCTCTCGAGTCGAGGTCAATGCCTCGTCCAGTGCATCCCCAAGCTCCTGCAGAGAAGCTGGCACAACTATGGCGATATGACGCAGCAGCTTCAGCGTCGCGAGTCCTTGGCATCTTCATCCTCTGCAGATTGCCTGCGGTGGGGTCAAGGCTGGCACACAGAGCTCGGCGCGAAGCTGCGAGGAAGCTGAGCTTTCCGCCCTTCTTCACCTGCAGGCGCTAGGTGCCACGAGGCACAGCGAACTAGCAAGCGAAGGCTCACTCTTCCGGGGCCTTCGTACTCTTGGAGGTGGTTCTGGCCTACAAAGCCGATGTGGCATTAACGATACTCCTGTGTTTCTGTCGTGCATACACTTCTTTCCTTCCTCTTGTGTGTTCGAAAGGAAGCTGGGCTAGGCGCATTCAGCTTTGACGGTGTCGAGGTCTCGAGCGAAAGTGCGCAAGGCTGCTGAAAGGCCCTGAACCTGGTTTTGAGTCTTCAGAAGTTGAAAGGCAGGCGAGAGAGATGGTAACATGAGGGCTGCGTGATGCCTGCATCTTGGCGATCCTCTCCGCCGGCTGAAGCCTTGGTCACACAGTTTTGCACCGCCATCAGACGTATTGATGGACTTAGCGAGACAGCTCCCTTGGCCGATGATCCGCGAGCGAGACTTGGTCTGAGTTGTCGACTCTCTCAAGAGAGCTTGTGCAGCATCAAGCTTTGGATTGGAGCGCAGGAGGGAGGCACAAAGGAAGTGCAGGGACGAAATCTCTCCAACTTTGAAGTCTTTGAGGGCCATGAGCGAGCTTATCGCGATGGCTTTCGCACCTTTCTTTGAGTCCCCATGGTTGATGTAGTTGCCCAGCTGCAGCGCCAGCATGGTGACACTCCGCAGCATGCCAGACTTCTGGATTGCAGAACACGCAGCTCGAATCTTGGCCAGAGCCCGAGCCGTGGACTTGAACTGCACGCGTGCATTTCGAGCCACGCAAAGAACTCGGACCCTAGCCGAAGCCCGGGTCAGTAAGGCAAGTGGCATCACCAACTGCTCCACATCCCGCAGCTTCCTGCAGTCCTCCTCTGAGCTGTGTTCCCGTAGATGCTTGGCCTCCTCCTGCGTAGGAATGACCTCCAGAATCTGCTCCAAATCATCTGTCCCGATCCTCTCGTTCTCCCACTCCAGCTTCTTCAGGACCAAGACCAAATCTTTGGTGGAGAGAGGCAGGCGTTTCAGAACGATGGCAATGTTTCGTGCTCGGTGATCGCTCAACACCTTGGTCCCGATGTTGCGCTGCTGAGCCTTGCTGAGGACACCGGAGGACCGCCGTTGCAGCTGGGAGCCCTTGGCCTGTTCTGCCTCCAACATGCGAGTCAAGGCTGTGAAATCAATCGCAGCTGAGCAGGTGTTTGACCTGCTTCGCGTCTCCTCGCTGAAGATCGTCCCTTCTGCATCTTGAATGTCCACCTGCTTCCAGTACAGCTTCTTGAGAAAGGGAGCCTTGGTCTCCGCCTTCGGAACCGGATCCTTGCCAGGGGCCTTCGCCGGCCCTGTGCCTTTGGGAGGTGGGCCTTTCGGGGGAGCACCGGGGCCTCCCTTGCCACCTTTTGGGCCCTTGCCCTTTCCTGCAGACTTGCCCTTGGCAGGCGGAGGCAGGGGTCCGGCTTGGTCCCCTGCCTGTGCGTCTGCTTTAGGAACAGGAGGTGGAGGACCCTTTCCAAGCTTGCCCTTGCCCTTTCCTTTTGGTGGCGGAGGCGGGCCACCTTTCTTGGTGGGCACGGGCGGGCTGTCCTGTGGCAAGTCCGTGTCCTGACCGGCAGGGTTCACAGAACCTGACAGGTCCGTCACTGGATTCTCTGTCGTGATCGTTGAGGTCATCTCAGTGCTCTCGGAGACCAGGGCATCTGTTTCGGAAACCTCGCTTGATGCCGGATCTTCACGGATCTCGTCCTCCCGCTCCGGCTCACCCTGTAATGATGCTACGGTGTGTTCCATTCGTTGCATGTTCTCCTGCATCTCTGCCACTTCGCGCTCTATCCGCACCATCCGTTCCGGCATCGCCAGTGCTTCCGCATCCGGCTCAGTGAGATCGAGGCAAGGACGCAGAACTGGTTCGTCTGGTTGCCGCTGCTCCATTCCCAAGCCGCCTTCCAGGTGTCGAAGAGCCTTCTGAAGGTGCGAGACGCCCGCCGCAGCACGCTCATATGACATAGCCTCTTCCCTGCTCGAGGGACCGGAGCCGGAGGAAAGAGAAAGGGCAGCAGCTGCTTCCTCTGGCTGCGAAGCTTGGGGGTCTCTCCCTCTCCTTGCCAAGGGCGGCTCAGGGCGCGCCGGGCCTTGGCTCGGGCTTCCCGAGCTCGCCATTGCCATGAGCTGGGGCGGAGCGACGAGCAGCGCGTTCTGCTCACCTCCACTTCCCGGCTTCCTGTGCAATGAGAGAGCATGCGGCGACCTGCTGCAAGAAACCCCCCCCGTCTGCTGCTCCTCTGCAGCACACTTCGAGCACGGTCCAATACCGCCTGAGCAGCCCAAAGGGGATGTTTCTTCAACAAAAGACACATAAGGTGCGGAGAAATGAGACGAAGAATACGTGACTACATGACTAAGCACGCGCGTTCAGGCAAAGCGGAGAAGCCAGTGATCGCAGACATTGGATCGGATTCATGCACGGACGAACGGGGACTAGGTGAGAAAATGACCCGAGAGCACCTGTGCCGTCGTAGAAGTCTTCGATGACAGCCTCGACCTGCAGACATGCGGATGCTTCTCCCAGAAGATCCGTTGAAGAGGGGCCATGCCATGCCTCTGACTGCCTTCGAAAACTTGCCTTTCGACTGGAATTTGCCAGAGGATGACGCGACAAAGAATGCACAGGCATCTGCTGAGCTGAGCCAGCGGCCCTGGAGATGCAGCAGATGCGCCGTAGCTGGCACGCGCTCCGGCACAGTCTGCGCCAGCAGCCCCACCACGGTCGCAGGAGACCGCCAAGGGCCTCGAGGCACCGCGCCGAATGTACCGCCAAGAGTGGGAGGATCGAACCCCTCGAGGCCTGGAAGCTGCAGACGGGCAAGGACTGCCCAGAGCTTTGCGAGCACGCTGAAGCACGGCCTGAAAAGAGCTGCAAAGGCAGTCGCCGTCCATACGTTCTGCCTGGGTCCCTGGCATCTGCACGCGACACTCCGTGTGATCGCAGGGCACCCGTCGACCGTGGCGCCTGCCATATGCACTGATGGTACCAGAAGCTTCCGGCTCCCAGTGCTGCTGCGATCACCCCTGGGCTAAACCATCTCCACACCTCTTTGGGCATCACCGCTGTCGCGCAGACTTGCTTCATGCCTGCATCCAGTCTCTGCTTTTTTCCACTGCCCAACTGAAAGGGTCTGGTACACAAAAAAACATACGGAGGAAAAGTAAAGTGTCTCAGCAAGGTTAATCACTTACACAAGTATGGCAGTATGGCTTTTTGAATTTAGCAGCATGCCATTGTCCACCTGCTTGGCAGCATTCAGTATGCTGGAAGTATGGACATCAATCTGAAAAGAAACTGGTGCAGGTAGATGGCACACATACAAGTCACACACAACACCCACACACAAGTGCACTGAATGACATAAGTTTTCGTGTCATTAACTTCGCACCGTACGTAGCTGGTTTGGCAAGAACGCAAAGCTTCTTTGCAGACGGAGGAAAGGGCATGGAGACATTGCTCCATAAGCAAGTGCAACGAGGCAGCATTGATCTTTGCAGTCGCTCTTGCAGTGGGGATTGCACGCATGAATTCTTGATTTTCATGTATTGCTCGCTGCCAGTTGCATGAGTCGACAAGCTGGGCATGCATGTTTGCCACGAGCTGTTTCTGCGTCAGACTTATACTGAGTGAGAACGCCTTGTATGCGCAGCGCCTGGCATCCTGATGTCAGTGCTCTCATGCAGAAATCGCAGAACTGATGCCAGGAGCAAGATCATGCACAAAGCCTTCCCTGAAGGCGAAGCCGGCTTGAGCCGTCTTGTTGCACAACTGCTATCAATGCTGAATCCGACTGCAAGAAGCGATTCGCCACCAAAAGCCATCCCTCGCCGGCTTGGCGACTTCCAGTCCGTCCAGCGTGTGAGAGAAGTGATCGTGCCGTCATGGGCACTGTTTTGATTGAACTGTAGATCCGCGGTGATGTGCTGTGGGCAGCAACCGCTTCAATGTCTCCGAGCAGACATGCTCCTGTATACTGTATGCCCTAATGATGCCTGGCACTCGAAACTTCACGGCAGCCTTCATTTTTTCACTTTCAACAAAACCAGTCCCCTTAAAATCGCAGACATTGCTTGGATTCCAAGTTCGCGCCTTTGGTTACAATGCTGCTGAGCACAAACTACCGCTCCAAGTTCATCATATGGCATGTACTTTGAATCATACACTAGTTTCATTGTCAGGATAATCACATCGACAAGTTCCACTTATCCAACAACTCTGCCATCCATATGGCAAGAGTAGCCCCTTCCAAGCAGTCTTTGACCGCCCAATTCCAACCTTCGTCAGCGCATCCGCTTTGCCGTGGTCGTGGATTCACGGCATCTGTCGGAGTACTGAATTGACAGCTGTGCTGCAAAAACGGAACCCACAAGCTGCAGAAATATCCAACTTCCGGGCACAAAAGGCGCCGAACGGGGTGAGTCTGCAAGATCACATTTCAACGAATCTAGAAGTCTCCCTGACCGGCCTGTGTTGAGAGGTGGGAGTCGGAAATCATGAGACTCTGGGAGTCTTGCTGCCTGGGCGCACAATACTGTCGAGGAAAGCTGACGCTGCCCACAGCGATGGCGAAGCAAATACATCACGACTAGAATCAGCATGGAGATTGGAATGAGAGCGGAGATATGAAGGAAGCGATGAGCTGATGATTCGAGGCAGAGGGAGAGGATGACGCCGACGACGATGACGGCAAGATCTAAGTCCTCAGCCAAATTCCCAAGCTCAGCATCAGGAATCGAGTTCTGGCCTGGGTACACAGAGCCACAGCCGCTGCGTTGTCGTTGCTTGGTGTAGGATTCGAGTGTCTGGCAAAGGTCCAAGCCCTTGGCTCAGTTTACATCAGACACCTTCACATGAAGCGTGAAGACATCCAAGCTCTGCACCCGCAGCCACTCAAGGCTCTCAATCAAAGATCCGCAGCCTTTGCGTGCAGTGTTGGGAGTATGCTTGTGGATATTGTGACAGACTATCGAGATATTACCAGTTTCTCTGCATTGATTCCAGCACGACTCCGCTTGAGCTTTGGATTTGTTGTGGCTTCCACCTCAACTTTGCTCGGCCTCGCAGCCTACTTCGAGACGGCCAGACTACAGAAGCGAGAATTCTGGCTACAGCCAGGAGACTGAGGAGGCAGCCGGACACGCCACAGCCCACACTTCTCAGCTCCAAGACCTCAGGGATCACAAGACACTGCGAAGGAGACCTCCGAACTCACAAGCGCCCCGAGACACCGGCTGCTGCAGATCGTCGTCTTCGAACCGCATCTGCCACGAGCGTCACACCCTCGTCGCCCAGCCTCAGAGAACCAGACTGAGCAAGATGGATACGGGTGAAAGCAAAAGAGCTCCCTTATCCCTGTGCCGTCGACGGGTTCTCCGACAATGCAAGCCGGAACCTAAGCTGCAACTCGGGCCAAACTCGCAACTTCACAAAAGATGCGCATCTCCTCCTCGGCCATGTCCTGTTTGCAGGCCAGGATGCGGTGAACTTGCATCCGAAGCGTCCTGCGGGAAGAAGCCCAGCGCCAGTGCCTCGAACAAGGCGCACCGCACCGGAGACTGCTCAGACACTGAAGAACGCCAGGGCCAGGGGACCTGTGCGCCGGCAGGGCCAATGTTGTTGGAGGACAGCCGAAGGGACCTGCAAAGAAACACGTGACGCCGTGACATCTTGAGCTTTGACAGGCGTGCCTCAGCACATGCCCTCCGAGACTCTCTCGCATCCAGGTCAAGCACTCTGCCAACGCCACCTTTGTGGTGCGGGTTTGGAGCACAGGAGAGTCCGTGGCAGGGCCCTCAGCCGCAGACCGCAGCTGTATCTGTCAAGCAGTTGCCCGACAAATCCTCAATGCGAAAAGAGCTCCCAAAGTCAGCAAGGCTTCCCCACAGTGAGGCAGGCACCATGTATTGAATTCCACATCCTCAGTTACAGCGGCTCGATGAGTCTGCTCGATGCATACATTGCGTGAGGTTTTGGCCGACAGGTGCCAGATTCGCCGACGATCTGGCAAACCTGAGACAGGCACGGGAACCCAAACCTACGTTCTGTGCCGCTGCACCATTCCGGAAAACTGCCAAGAGTAGGTTTGAGGCACGGGCTGAACTGATGCACTAAGCAATGATGCTACAAACCTGCGTGATCAGGCGTAGTCGTGAAGTGTCTTGCTTTCTGCGCAGGCAGTCGTATGGAGAGGGATGCTCAGACCTGCTGAAGGCTTGATCACCGAGTTGTCGCCCAGCTGCATCGACCTCGGCTTGCAGTGTTGGACACATTTTGCGGGTCTTAGCCCTTAGCTGTCGGCGGCGAACGTGAAAAGGGTAAGCCATTGTATCTTCGCATTGCTTGTGAGCTGATTGTTGCGAGCCCTGTGCTCTCGTCGCGTCTTCTCTTCAGGCTGTGGTGTGCAAAGCTGCAGGGCACACCGCAAGCTCTCCTGAAATCTCTGAACATGGAGCACCGGAATCGCTCAGGTCTGTGCTGTGTGACAGCTCAGCAATGAAGACTGCGATTCGCACAGCCAGGCTTCCAACTGCAGACCCAGAAAACGGAAATGTTGCATCGTTTACAGTTTAAGGCTTGGGCAACAGGATTGCTTCTTCGATGCTAAACTTCAGCAGTACGTCGTCGCTTTTTCAGGATTTGTCGTCCAAAAGGGCAGCTGACGAACCCAAAATCCCACCTCGTCAGCACCATCTGCGTCAGAAACCTTGGTGTGGGTGCGCTCCGACCACTGACTGGAAAGCGACTTTGCACAGAGGGCCCGTGCGGCCGGCAGAGCGAGCTTCCGCCCAGCATCCACCATGAGGCTCAAAAAAAACCTGAAGTCTTGATTTGACTTTGTATGCCTTTTCTGAACTGGCTGCTATCTGGTAGTGTGGTAGTGTTGCCGGAGCCACAGGCTTCGACATCACGAGTGGATATCCGTAAGGAAGCGATTTGAAGCTCACTGATTGGTGTCTCTTCACCACACCAGGCAAGACCCAGTCAGCAGACCTTTTGTGAAGGTGTCCCTGCCACGAGCGTCGCTGTGGCGCATCCCTGGGTGAAACTCTTCAGCCCTCGTACACCTAGCGTGGCAGAGTACGCACAACGGGCAAATCTCGAGCTGTACATGGGGGTTCTGCGTGCCACAGACGGCTGTCTCCACCCTGTCTGATGGCGCTCCACGCATTTCTCGGTCGGCCCAGCGGAGCTTTGGTTCGAAGGGCGAAGGGCGATTACACTGGTAATGCAGCCTGCACATTATGCTCTTTTGCGCTCTTTCTGCGGCCTAGAGCTGTCTTGTGGAAGTCACTTCGCCCTCGCACGCGCTTGAGTCTGCAAACTGCTGAGCATGCCTGCAGAACCTGCCAACCAATTTTGTCCAGTCAAGGCTTAGCTGGTGGATCAGGACATGCCTGAGGCGAGTCTAGGCTTCGAAGGCACATCCTCTGATCTTGAAAAGATAAAATCGTACATGTGTACAAGGAGAACATCGAGTGCAATGCCGATTAAGCCTTCTCTAGACCTGTACGACTGTACGAACGTGGAATTGCACTCGCGGCCCCTTTGACAAGACTGCGCGAGGCTGGCTTAAGTGCTTCGGATGCTCACCTCCAGTACAGCAAGTAGCCAGCCAGCTGACCTTAGATGCGCGTTGACAACTTCGCAAACAGCAAATCGACGACGTGGCATAAACATAAACGTGCTCCGTGACCTGTGGTGAAGCTTGTTTTAACTTGGTTCCGCGTGGCGGTGCAGATGTGATGCGGCGTAAGTTTTCCTGTTGAGACCTACCATCATGAGCGGCATCAGAGCCAGGATCCCGACCGTTTCGTGATGCCTGGCCGTGGAAAAAAGCAAGTCTGCGATACAGTGCTCAAAACAGTGCTGGACTGAGCACCCTGCAACTTGCGAAGCTGGCGTATGCTCCAAGGAGCTCCAGTACACCTGGGAATCACAAACACTCCCAGCTCAGTCCCTGGGCCGTCTGAGTCTGCAACCCTGAGCTCCAGACCAGCAGGCATACAGCGAAGGCAGCCACCAACAGCGAGTGCGCCATCCAAACTGCCTCAAAACCGAGCCGAGGCCGAAACACAGCCGAGGAGCAAGACATGTCCTTTAGACGCCTCTCCGTCGGTGAAGAGCCCCACCCGTGGGGGTGGAGACGGACTGCCTGACGACGTGTTGCTTCGTTGCTTCGCGAGGGCCAACAGCTATACTACGCTAGCAGCTAGCAGGTTGTCTTGATCTCAGTCTGACCCCATATTGCAAGTCGAAGCATAGTTGCGTTCATGCCGTTCAGTTGGCACATCGCATCAGATCTTCTAACAAGGTTGCCCCGGTTGCCCCAAGGAAATCGGAGTAAGGGGCCTGCAACCTAGTCCAAAACTAGACTCCTTTGCAACCAAGCTCTCTGAGAACCCTGCCCTTGCTTCGATTGGCACAGCAAGCACAGCAAAGAATCGAGTGCTGACGAGGGTTTTTCAAAAACACACGCTGGCCCTGCCTTCCCCAGGGGTTCGGCTCACCTCCTTGCAGTTCTCCAAAGCCTCGCATGTTGCAGGTCCCAAAGAGATCGGAAAAAACACCCCCCGAAGCCGGTGCAGCCGGTTCGCCTTAGGCTCCTCCAGCGGCCAAAGCCTCTCGTCGGCTCTGCTGGGTCTCTGCTGGAATTTTTCTTCAGCCCTTCAACTTTGGCTCACGGGGGGCGAGGCCTGGAGGCCTTGGCTTTGTGAGATCGGAGCCGCTTTCGGATCTCCTCCTTTGGCCTCGACTAGGGCGGATACTATGGGTATCTCTTAAGGTATCAGTATCAGAGGGGCTGGGCCGGTGCTCCCTCTGGGCCGGCAGCTTCGGTGCCTGCTTGGCGAAGGCCTCTCACCGTGCGGCGGCGATAGCGCTGGCAGAGGCGAAGGACTCTAAACGCTGGCCTGCGACTGCCACAGCAGCCAGCTGTGAACATCCTGGCCACAAGCACAAGAGGGCCAAATGCACCACAGCAGACAGATCGGAATCTGATGATGTCTGGAGTCCTGCGCCATTGCCCGAAGCAGGACGCAGTGCTGACTCGTGGAAGTGGACCTCAACCGCACAACTCAGCGTTCGTGCGGAATGAGCGGGGCGCTGAGGCACCGGACAGCAGAAAGGCCACGGTGCGCCGCTCCGCTTCGAGAACAGGAAGCTCAAGGATCGCATACCTCGGGGGGGAGTGAACCATCTGCCTCTCCGCATCTCAACGGGAAACGGCCAAAACGGGGCCGCACTGTCGTCTCGCGTGGGATGACCTGCGAAGCTATAGCCAGGCAGCCAGACCAGGAGCTCAGAGCACAGAAACTTGCGAGTGCTGCGTGTAGCCGACGGAACCCTACCTGCAGATCAGCAAGTAAAGCTGGATGCCGTGGAATGACATCCTGGTTTAAGTCAGTCAGAGTCATAGTCAAACCCAGTGCATGACCTGAAGCTGCATCAAAACACCATCGCGTGATTCTCCTTGTGGGTCTCTTTAGCGGCAGCTCGGCTCGCACGTCGCCGGCCAAGCGGACGACCTTCTGGCCAAGGCAGCAAAGCTTCGGCTGATGCCCCCACCTGCTAAAAGTGCAATAAGTGGACTTCTTCGAATGGAAGGAGACTGCCAAAAGAAGGAACAAAGGCATTGCAAATGTGCACACGAGCGTCCTATCTGAGATAAACATTCTCACAGACACACATGCCTGTCCGTCTAGGAGATATGAACCGCACAGACGAGAGAGCGACAGAGAGACAGAGTCAGAGCAAGAGAGTCACAGAGACAGATCACGAAACCGACAGCTACAGGAGTCGTCTTCGACCTGCCCTCACTTCCTTGGTCCACCTAACTGGGTGAGTCTCTTCGCAAGTGCTGCAACTTCACAACAAACGCAAACTAACTTAACCTTTGCCAACTGCCCAACACTGGCGCCTCCTGTCGAATCTCCTCTTCAGAGATACTTAAGCTTTGCAAGGCATCCTGGGACTGGAAGAGAGCCTGGCATCTGAAGCTTGGAAAACTTCTGCGAATCATGCTAGCGCTGCTAGCTGCTAGCACCAAAGGCCACCTGCCTGCAAGAGCACAGACAACAGCCCAAGTCGCTCGCTGGACCTTGCGAAGAGCGGCATTCAAAAGCCCGGGCAGCGCACAGGGCAACGACCAAGACCTCCATCGTTGCATCACAGGAGCCTGAAACTGCGAACGGGCATCTGCACCTCACCGAGGGTCAGTCTGTCACAGCAACGGAACCTTCTGCGTGAGATGGCCTGAACTGCCTCCTTGAGTGCATCCGGGTCTTTGGCACGAAGCCCCTTCGGCATCATGATAAATGAAGCGGGATGCTTCACACATCATAGGTCTCTAGCTTGACAGCACCAGCCTCCGCAGATGCACATTCGTCGCTTTCTTGAGGGTTCCTGAACAGGGCACTTGGCTCAGCCGGGACTTGTCGATTCTACATCACATGGCAGCCCTGCCCTGTTTCCGCGCTGTTGGAGCAGACCTAAAATCCACCCGGCGTGACCATGGAGTTTGATGCACGATTGTACAATGCAGGGCGACGGAACAGGAAGGCGCTTTTTGTCCGCAATGCAGACTCCACATCCACCATCTCTATATGTGCAGCCCTGGAAAGCGGCGGTGACGTTCAAAAGTATCACCGGGGGCTGCGAAGGCTCATATGGAAGCTGGTTGGCTCTCTTTACAATGGGTTAGGGTTAGCTTCACTTGTCGTGTTCCGGCAGTTCGGTTTGCTTCCACAGTGCCACTGCAAGCAGTCAGGTTGCGTCGCCAGAAAGTGCTCTTACTTTGACTGCTGAATCTCAGCTTATGCACCTGGTACGCAACGTGCTGTCCGCTTGCCCTGAAAACTGCTTCATAGTACGTTGTGTACTTTGGGATGAAGGGCTTGCGACAACAGACCACAAGTCCACAAATTCTGTGACCTCTTCTTCTGATGGTATGCACTATACTGTCGCAAGCGTAGCCAAGTAGCGTCCATGCCGAGACCTACTCGACCTATATCCCCTCACCTTGCCAACACCCACAACACTTCTGCCTAGCCCTCTTCGGATGTCTACGTATTGTTGGCAGGGAGGGTGTGGAGCATGACTTCGTGGGCCTTGGGCCATCTGGAGAGCGTTTTGCAAAGGCAGTCAACCGCGGCCCCCACCCTTGCCACTCTCGGTCCGCAGCGTCACGTCCCATGCTTCCGAAGCAGCTGAGCTTGCTGCAGCTCCAACTCTTGGTCAGAACTAAAAGCAATCAGCGCAGAACCATGATCTAGCATGTATACCTTTAAATCATGTGCTACAAAGTTAAGGCATGTGCCCATTTCTGACCCTTCGACACCCGAGGACAGCTTCGACTCACGGCCCGACTCAGAGCGCATGCAGGACGACACACGGAGCCCCAGCTGGATCTTGGTGCGGGTCTTGCTGGCATCGAAGCAAGGCGGCGAACTCACTGACACCACTCGCTCGCAAAGGTGACGACCGACTGCACGGCGGCTGGCTTTGGAAGCACGCCGAGACTGCCGGCGACGGTGCTGTGCGCGGCGAGTGCCTGCCGCAAATCTTGCCGAGGCAAGGTTGCCGCAAAGGCAGGCGGCCGATGTCGTGGTTGTTGCGGGTGCAACTGCCGCTGCTGCTGCAGTGACAGTTTGAGAGTCTGCGCAGTTCGGAACTGCGAGGGACGGCGACTCGTTCAACGAGATCAACTCCGGAAGCATGGGAAGGCTTTGAGCTTCCTGAACCACATGGGTTTCCGTGAAGATGGGTGCCGCAGGCTCCTCGTATTGCAGGTAGACCGGGTTCTTCTCGGTTGTAGCTTTGAGTGTGACCACTGCTCGGCGGGCCACTGAAGGCTTCTGGAACCTTCCTTTCGTCAAGCGTGCAGCAGCCAAACAAAGAAGAGCCGCCGCAGCCGCGGTCTTGAAAAGCCTCTGATCTGGAGCAACCGACGTGTTGGAGCCGGTGGCGGTGCCAAAGGTGGCCACCTGCTTGGCCTGCCACGAAGGAACTGTTGCCCGGACACCCGATGTCGGCACTGGGCTCACAAAGACATCTCCATTCGTCACCAGCAAGAGCCAGCCCGCCACAAAAGCGGCAGACACCGAGAGCAAGAAAGAAGACGTTGTTCGATTCTTTGCCATGGCGTTCTCTTGTCAAGACGTGACTAACCTTCAGAGCCCCTGTCTGCCAGAGCAACAGCAACACTGCCATACAGCCCAAACTAAGCGTGCACAGAGTTGCAGCATGGACAGCATCTCACACAATCTGATGCTGAGACTCCGGCCGAGTCAGTGCACTGTCTTCCCTGCGAGTTCCCTTCTCCGCACACGTCCTGGTCCTGGCGATGAGTCAGACATGCACACGGACACTCTCGGCATGCCATGCCGCCTTCTCGAAAAGCAGCTGGAAGCAATCCCGAAGAGTGTCGGCGCTGGTGTCCATCACCTGACCATGCAGAATCCTGTTGGCTGCCACGTCTTGCGCGGTTCGGCCTCTTGGTAGTTGCCGGCCACGTTTCGAAGAACATGCAGGCTCAAGGCAAGACTATGCCTCGGTGCCGGAAGAATAAGAAGAAGATAAAGTTAAAGGTCAGAAACGCCGGCGCAATCTCAGAAGTGCCGCCAAGCCACGTGCTCTCATGCCTCAATGAGGAGGCATGCTGCAGTACAGCTGCCAAGGCTCGCACCACTCCTTGGTCATGTCGCAAAGTCAAGAAATTGCTTTCTCTACAAAGCCAAGACACGAACCTGGTGAGACCGTGTAGAGGCTGCTGTTCTCCTGGAACGATGCATGGCCCAGGCATCAGGCTAAGGCGATGTCGCTGAGCGCTTCTTAACGCAGACAGCACGCGGACTGGCGAAGCAGGCGGACATGCTACTGTACAAGCTCGATGACGGGCTAGAGACATCTACTTTGGCACTTGTGACCTGACGGCTCTCAGGCGTTGCAGATTCTTTGTCTGCGTTTGCAGTTACTTTGGCACTTGTGACCTGACGGCTCTCAGGCGTTGCAGATTCTTTGTCTGCGTTTGCAGTCGCGATCCTCAGGGACAGAGGCAAGAGCCCGCGACGAGGAAATGAAAAAAGTGTGGAGAAGACAACTTCAGCATCTGGCTAGCACAGTCTGTAAGAGTAAGAGTGCTTCTCACCACTGCCGCTGTTGTCCAAGCTGCATTACTCGCAGACGAGCCCGAAGTGCTCGACCTTATGTTCATCAAGCGAAGTGATTCTGGTACGCCGTGCACTCGCCTCGGGGAACCGTGCTTGAAAACAGGCCTTGGTCTGGTCAAGAGTTTACAACTATCCGCTGATGGGTGTTCTTCCGAAGGGCTTTCGCGTTCGTGTGCTCGTCGGATGCGGTGCGCTTCCCTGAGCTCCTGCACTTGCTTTAGCGGCCACCGCACCCTCAGACGGCCCTCAGGGCCCCGGCTTCAGGGGTCCTCATGCAGCGAGTGGCACTCCCGGCTCAGGCGCAGGACTCTGAGCTCATTCTCGGACGCTGTCATGCTTCGACTCTGTCGTTCCAGCGAGAGTTGATGTCGTAGCTCCACACAACGTCTGCTGAGACGTGCGTTCTTCCCAGACAGTCCCCGGGCATCCACACTTATTGGTGGAAGAATGCTTGCTCTTCCGTGCGGCGAGTCCTGGTCGCTGAAGCTCTTCAGATGTGCTGACGTCGCTGGCAGTCCGCTGTCGTTTGACAGCTGCAGACTGGACGATGATGGCGGTCGAGTTGACTCCCGACTCCACCCACTTTCCTGCCGCACGCAAGACGGATCAGGTGCCACTGCTTCACCCTGTCCGGGCAAGCTTGCAGGCTCTCTCAAAGAGCTCGAAGAAGCTTTCGACTTCAGGCAGGGTGTCCGCTCTTCAGCACATGGACTTCGAGCTCTGAGAACGTGTAACAGCTCAAGTTCGCGCAGTACACGTCGGCGGTGAAGTGGGTGAGAGACTCCAACAGAAACTAGATCGTCCTCCTGCCAGCAATGTACGGTGGATTGCCAAAAACTTCCACTCCTCAGCCCACTGCCCCAGAGTCAACCGAAGCAGAAAATTGCTGTGGTCTCCCCTCCTGCACATCGCAGAGAGCCCCTGCAGTGCGAAGAGTTGACGCGATCACGGGCAAGCCACGGCATTCCAGCCACCTACCAGCAAGGTTTGCGTCGAGAAGGACCAACTCAGCTATCAAGGCTCAGTTCTCGATGCTGCCTGGCCGCTCAGCAACATCGAGACGGCAGATTTCATCGTCCATGGTGGCCCATGTCCATGGCGACATCAACCCCCACCCTTCATCTTGGTCTTCCCGAGTAATGCAGCGGATCGTATCTTGCATGTGGTGTCCAGGTTCAAGCAAAATGCTCCGCGTCCAGACGATTAAAGCTGAGATGGGTCCTGAAGTCTGGCGGAAGCAGCCAGCACGGCCAGGCTGCCCGCAGCCGCGGCAGCTACAGAGATCTTGTCGGACCTTTTTCTGCAATCAGTGCCTCGCACGGACTTCCGCAGTCATAGGCTCCCGGCGACTCTGCGCCCGAGAAGAGAGATGTGGCTGCCTGGAACGGCACAAGAGAACGTTGAACGTGGACCCTCGCCATCCCTCGCCCTGACCCGCACAAAGCAAGTCCAAGTTGGTCCAAGACCATGAGAGGAATATACCCCTTCCAACAGGTTACAAGTAGCGCACAAGCCCCCCATGCAACTCCTCTCAGAGCCTCTCAGCCTTGCCTTTTGATTGAAGTGCCAAGAAGACGCTAAAGCCCCAAACCCCAACCCATGAACCCTAAACCCTAAACCCTAACCGTCTGAAGGGACAGCTGCACCTCTTCAAGATGGAAGCCCAGGAAGGACAAGGCATCGGCCTGGCGACCAATGAACCAACGGTACCGTCGGTTACAGTGGAGCCTCACACAGCATCATACAGTATGCATAGTAGAGCAGAGTAGACTATAGCGCGGATAGTGTAGGCCCTGTAGTGAAGCCCGTACGATCTGGGTGGATCATCTGCTCGCTGCTATGGCGGAAGGTATCATTGCTTCATTCCCGCAAGGCATCCGTCAGGCTCAAGAGGCCATTCTGTACGGGATGCCACAACTATGCACAAACAATCCCGGGTCTGGATCTGCAACGAGTTGGGGTTGGTGTCTGCTTCCTTGGTGTGTTGCTAGCTCCTTCCCACACTATAGCCAGGACTTTGCCTCCGGCTGTCAAAACCTAGTCACGTGCATCACATGCAACTCTTCACTTGCTCCAAGAGAACGGCCACCTGCCGAAAAACGCCAGCGGGCAAAGATCGAAGAGCGATGATCGAGCCATGGAAGCCTTGCTCAAGGCATCCCAGAGCTTTGGACCTTTGGACTTCATGAAGTCTGGATCGACCTGAGAAGCAGAGGCACCGAAAAGCAATTCCAAAGCACCGGTCAGGGCCGCTGCACAGAGCTTCTCGTCAACTGCCACGAACCCGCATGCCTCGGCAGATCAGAGCAAGACGTGCTTCCAAAAACCGGGGCAAAAGCAAACCTCTGCGGCTGCGGCCTGGAGCACCTCGATGCCCCCCTCGAGCGCTGCAACTCTGGAGCGAAAGTTGCTGTTCTGGCCTCACGGGCTCTGTGGCGAGTCCTCACCACACTGTCACGCTCGCCTTCCCTGCCAGGCTCCCGGCAGTTGATGGAATGAAACTTCGACTCCTCGATGACAGTGCATGCAATAACAAAGCGCCACATCTTGTTCTCTTCTCCTGCGGGTTCTTGGCCAGGTTGCTGATGTAGGCGTGGAGGGTCTGCCTTCAGCAACTGTTTCTTTGTGGGACTGCAGCTCAACTTGACTGAGCAGGCTCCAAGGCTCTGACAAGCAGGTAGCCAGGGCTGCCGGATCTCGCTTCAAGTGCTGTCGTCGCAGGGCCTTCCATGCACGCTGCATGCACCGGATGATAATTGACTGTTGATTGGTGTCCAAGCCCGACCTGCAGGGCATTGACTACAGGATCTGGCTCCCGGACTCCGCCACCCTGTCTGGATCAGACTTCCACAACAGAAAACAAATTTCCTCTAAAGAGGAACGGAGGGTTCGCGTTTGCCCAAAGGTCTCCTGGTGCTGGATGGAAGTTGGATTGCTCCCCATGTTTAGGGTGCAGGGACTAAGTTTGAACCTCAACAGAAACACTTGCAGCTTCGCAGCTCGTCACAGTTCAGAAATGTCAAGAGATACCATGATTCATAAGATCACGATATGCTGTGGGTTGGGCATGGCGTGTTAATACATGACGAAAAGGACCCAGGAGGAGGCCAACTCTCTCGCTCCGGCAGTAGCGGCATAGCGAACAGTGCCAAGAAGATAAGCAAGCACAACCAGAGGCCATCCTCCGCTTCCTTTCGCTTGAGCTCTGCCTGCCATCGAGTCAGTGACTTCACCAGACGCCAAGTGGGGAAAGGATGATGGGCCTCCTCCCGTTCTCGGCGCAGCTCAGACTCTTCATGTGCCGCGAAGCGGTCTGCGGCTGTGGCCTCTGCGAAATCTCTGCACTTCTGCCCGGGCAGAATGGGACCTCGATTTCGGCGCCTCCTTCGAAGGCATGGCAGCTTCAGACTCGGCCTGGCGGAGTCAGGATGGACCCGGAGCGGACGCCGGCACCCCAGCCGTAACCCGAGCCTTTGGAGTCGCCACACTGCCTTGGGAAGCTGCCGGCGCTGGCTTCGGCCCGGGCTGCTTTGCTGGCTTCATGTCCTTGCGAGCCACCTCATCCTTCTTACTCGGTGTGGAGTGCGCCTCCTTCACCGGCTTGCCAGGTGGAGACTCCGTGCTGGGAGCTTTTGTGGAATCTTTGCTGGAAGAGCAGAATCTGCTCAAGCAACGGCTCGCCAGATTCGGTCTTCGGTCATTCGTGACAGCTTCTGCCTGGAAACAGGTGGGAAGCAACTTCTCTTCACAGTCGTCTGGACAGAGGGACGAGCACAGGCCCCACGAGAGGCTGCAAGACTTGCGAAAGCCGCAAATCTTCAGATCAAGACTCCCAAACTTCACCTCAACATCCCTGCACACTTCATCCGGCCTTCATTTTCTGGTTCGTGTGTTGCTGTCGAGATGCTGGCTGCTGCATGCTCTGAGCTGGCCTGGGTTTGGCTGAGGGCTGTAGCTTTGCTGAAGATGAAGCTTTCGTCTCGTGACGCTCTTTCGTCGGCACTTCTTTGGGCGCTCTTTGTGAAGTCGTCGGAACAACCTCAGGGCTCTGGTCGCCTCAACCGGCTGCATCAGAATCACGGGAATCACACTATCCTCCAAGAACTGCACAGGAGGCGGCTTCAAAGCCTGCGCTTGCGAGAAATCAGATGCGATCTCACACCCTCACTGCACCACACGTCGCCTGGCTGACTGCAGGACGAACTGGTCGGGCTGGTGGTGCATCGGCAGTTGGGGCACTGGACACCTGAGCACAGCCCGAGCACAAGCAGAAGTAGTGCCCAAAGCTGGAATTCCAAGGTGGATGCAGAAGAGGATGATCTGGGCTGCAAGCGAAACCTGCGAAAGCAACTACAGCTTGAGCAGATGCCACCAGCACCAGTCACCACAATAACAGTCCTCGCTGCTCCTGGTCGAGAGCCACCGGACAACCTCAAGTCAGCGGAGTTTTGCTAGCAACAACCTTATGAAGCTTGCCTGACCCTCAAAAAGAACATCTCATGAAGCTTGCTGAAGGCTTCTAAAATCCTGCTGCACTCTGTTTGTGTCTCGCTGTTGATCTCTCTCTTCTGCAAGCTGTTCTTTGCTTCATGCCTGCTTTGGTCCACATCCGGCCGAAGATCACGTTGACCTGTACAGTTGAGGCGAGTGAAGGGGACAGGGCTTCTTCGGCCTGCAGTGCATTGCATCAAGCCACGACAGGCAACCGCTCCGACTCACAGCAAGTCGACTCTTGTGGCCTGCACGCCGCTCGGGGTAAGCGGTTGGCGTGCCCGGGCTCCTGAAAAAGATGCTGCGGGACATCTCTGTACTTAGAGGATCATGGGACTTAGTAAGTAGGGTTATAATTAAAGTAACCCCAATTAAGGTACTTATAACCCTACTTACTAAGTCCCATGATCCTCCAAGTACCACTTTGGAGCCCCATGGCACTGCCTTGACGGAGCGCTGGTGTTCGAGTGCTTCGGGCTGACAGCGGCCTGAGCTCTGTTCAGCTTCAGCAGCGGCAGGCAGAATCCCAGCTCGGGACTCCGGCATAGGACGCTTCAAGTGCTTGTGCCAGCGCGGCTTGCTCCTGCAGGTAACATCACAGAACGAAAAAAACTGGCTCTTCTGGTGCCCAGCACGTGCCTGAATCTCGGCCTGCTGCTCGAAGGCTTGCTGACTCTCCAGCAGCACCCTCTCAAGATCAAGCCTTGCAGAGGCGAGAGGAGCCTCTTTCTGAAAAGAACGGATCTCGTCCGAACCTACTAGACGCCTCGCGGAAGCTTCATCAGCTGCAGCTGCTGCTGACTGGGCCATCGCGATGGCCTCATCATCCTGCTATGGACAGTTCTATCGAGAACTATATAAAGCGGCTGTGCCAACTCGATGCGGATGTGAAGGCTATGTGACATCAAACAACAACCTCCTCGTGAGAATGGATGAGCCTGTCCACGTAGCCTCGGGCTGTTGCGAGAGGGAGACATGATCATGACGACCCTGGGGAAAATTCTGAGTTGGCTGCCGGTTCTCATAGGCGGTCTGGCCTCATCCGTCCGCAGCGGCACCTTCGAGGCTACAACATTTGCTGGGAGCAGATACCGTAACACTGCGGGGCCGGATGAGTAGCACCTCTGCAGAGACGGCCTCAGCAGCGGGGGGGGCGGGATCATGGTGCGAGAGGTGACACTGCCACGCATCAACGAGAAGCCGAGTGGCCGTTTGCCCCCTTCCTGTGACCGTCTCAAGAGCTGCCTGCAAGGCCCGTTGTTGAGGGCTCTCACATGTCGAAAAAGGACTCGGAGCCTGCAGGTCCCAGCTGTGAGCCTCGAGAAGCTGCTGTGCAAAATCGACATCTGCGTCGGGGCCTCTGCCACAACGACATTTCTGCAACAAAATTGCAACAAGCACACACACACACACACACACACACGCAACGCAACGCAAATGCAAGGCCAGCCTAGACTATCCAGAAATGTGATCAGCTTTTGATCCTGTGGGAAAAGGCGGAGCCAGAGCTTTACTGTACTGTGCAGAGCTCCGACAAGCTGTCCTTGTCCATCTCAGCACATTCAAGCTGATGTCGGCTCTTGCTGCAGGTTTTCATACGTTCACGGTGCCAGAGTCAACTCGATTCGCTGGTGGCAGGACATGTGGGTAACGATCCCCTGACCCATGCTAGGGCCTGTTGTCTTGCAAGCATGTACATGCAGCACGCTCCACGCTTGAGGAAGCTCGGAAGAGGTGCAAGATACAACGCACTCCAACAAAAAGCTGCACTCGGCCTAACTGATGGACAGGGCAGGGCGCCTCGTGCAGATGCGTGAGGATCGATCGGTCTTGCAAGTGGTGAATTGCCTGGCTATCAGCCCACATGAATCATGTGATATTCGGGCCAACCGGGCTTGATGGCCACAGGCCTGCAGAGCGTTGCTGCAGCGTCCACAAGGACATTGCATTGCTTCTTCCCTCAAAGTCGTCCGCTTCAGTACCATAGGTACCTGAATCACTGCCGAGGCTAGGGGCAAGCTCGCCATACACTTCAACCATCCATACTCTCTCCAGCGGGTGGATACCACGACAAGGTCCAAATAGTCGCCAAGAAGTTCGAGTGCAGTGCTTCCCTCGTCCTGCACCATCTAACTTTCACCTGCACTGCTCTATGCCGCGCGCATTCATTTTGTTCACCGTCCTTCCAGCGTGCGTCTCGCCTGCCCTGCAGAACCTGGCACCGTGCGAAAGATCCACATAGCAAATGAAGCCGAGGGAGGCCATCACCACTGCGTGGACCATGAGGAGAAGATCATGGCAGCCTTGACCTCACTCGACCGTTTCATCGGGGTTGCACAGGCAACCTTGACCACTTGCCTCAACGAAACCTCCGAGCACCTGGCCAGTCCTGAGAAGCCACTGCCAGTCCTCAATTCGACTACAGTAGGTGAACGGCTTCTCGAGCTGGCAACTTCACTGCCTTGTAAAAATACGGTCCTCCGAGCTCATCGTCTCAAGCCTCGACATGATGGAGTCGACATGACCAGTTTCCTGGCACAGCACAGGCACCATCAGGGCGTGCTGCCAGGAATTGCAGACTCCTTTGCCGTGGAAGCAGATGCAAATCTTCCGGGCCTGGGTTCTCACACCCTTGGCCCTTGACTTTGGACTGACTTCGCAGCGAGACCGCATGTTTTGCACGGCTATCGCATTGCCACGCACATACGACAAGGCTGCAGCAGGTCTTGCAATGGCACCCGGTCTCCCACATCACTTTCCTGCACAAGTGCTTTGGTTTCGGCAATACCAGACTGCATGCACGGTGCATCAGGGACGGCCTCTTCAGAGTTCAGCCTCACTCGGCACTGAATTACATACAGAAAACAGCAAACGGTAAGAAGGCAGCCATCATCATCACCATCGTCAGCATCACAGCATCCTCAGCAGCATCACCAGCAGCCAACACCAATGCTTACAAGCACCACCATCTCGTCGTCATCCGCATCGTCCTCATGAGCCGTGTGATCATCAACATCACTCAACTGAACTATCATCTCGCCATTGTGGGCCAGCTACTAGCCTCAATGTCAGGCCCTCAAGGCAGATCAGCTTGAAAGTATCGACATGTCTGCTCACCAAGGTTGCGACATGGATGATGCCTCATCGGCGCCATGAACCAGCTACTTGAAGTATCGTCGACGGATGTTTCGGTGATGTGTCTCGCGATCATGTCAGTGACGTTGTCAGGGGTGGGATCCAGTTGTTTTTCTTCTGTTGTATGCTCTGCTTTAGTGCTACTGTTACTTTTGTCACTAGGCACGAGCCCACACACAGCATCAAGCACAAGCCCACAAACTCCATTGCCCTTTCTGGCAGCCTTACTACGACTTCCCGACCATCAAGATCAACCGGATCAGCAGCGCCTTGGCACTTTGCAGCTGCCAGCGGTCTGGACAACAGGCTTCGAATTACTCAGGGCATCCACCAGCCCAGACGCTCTGGCCAATGAGTACTCCGCAATAGCTAAGCTGACTCTCTGAGTCCTGCTTCGAGCAGAAACCCGAGGCAATCCTGCAGGCATTGGCAAGATCGCAATGCTGCGGCGAGCTTTGTGAAACACTTGCTCGACTCGTCTTTCTCAAACCGAGGCTGCGATCGAAAATCTGAAAGGTGCAAGACATGCTAGCATTTACGTGGCTGCATCTTGAAAAAGCACCTCCGACAAGGCTGCATTCAACGAGCTCTTGTCAGTCGTCATGTGCGAATACATGTATGCTCACCAATGGTCAACAATGCATGTGGATGCTCTTTTGCGTAAAAGTACGTTCCGTTTGTCCTTTCTATTTCGTCAGAAGAAGCAAAAGAATGCCCCCATCAAATCTTGACAACATCAATGCCTCCATCTCACGACAGCACGGCACCACTGCTGACTCGATCGCTCTCAAGACAGGCCTGGCCTCGCCCTTGTGCATCTTCCGCCTGTGCGAAACAATCCACATGCCTTGCAAATACACAATCTCCCCCACTGACCTCTGCTGCGCTGGCTTTTGCTGGCTCTGCCGCCCGAAGCGGCCTCCCCTGTTGCATGTTGCAAGTTCTGATTGTGCTGCTGACGCTGACAGCATGCGGCTTGAAAGCTCGATCGAGGCCTCTTCCGGTCGACCTACCGATTTGCTGGAAGCAGTCTGTACGCACAGAGATGGCGATGACAGCGGATCCAGCCTATGCCAGTGTCACCCATTTCGGCAGCTTTTCTCCAGGCATGCCGAACCGCGATCTCGTGGAAGTCAGCACAAACCAAGCGTCACTAAGGAGCAAACACACGCAAAACAGAGAACGTGCTGAGGACAGGGCTGTTTGCCAGTTGAGTTGCAAATCGACTGGATCGGCCACCGGATAAGTTCGACCCACGCTTTTCCTGCAATGATATTGCTATCTAGGCCTCACATGGCCATACTCTGCAAGCCTTTTCCGGTGGGCTAATTAGTTGTTGTTGTTGTTGTTGCAGTTTTGGCAATCCACACAACAGCAATGCAGCTGGCCTTGGAGGGTCTTCAAGAACATCATGTCCAGGTGGCTGGCAATCAACATAGGGTTGAAAACTCCGACATGTTCCGCTTGCACGTCTGTCGAGTCTACAAGGGCAAAGTCTCGTCGTCCACTTCTCTTGCGCCCTCTCGCCGTGTCCAGAGCTCAACACTCAAGCCCCCCACAGCCATGAAGCATGATTCATGTTTCGGGCAAGGCAAAGCAGGGCAAAGGCCTGCCGCGAGATGCAATTAGGGGCGCAATGCGTCGAGCATGACATATTGTCCTGCCAGCCATCAAGCTCAACTGCACCGGATGCATTCACGTATCAGCAAGCAACAAACCGAAACGGTCCCCCATGGCGGCCAAGTCCACTGTCAGAAATCTTTGTCTTGAACATTTGTACAAGCTGCGGAAATTTGAAGCAAAGGCGATTTGTACTCGAAACACACGGCAAACGTCTAAATTGCAAGCTGCACAAACAAAACTGTCCGAAAACCAGCACAAGTGTCAGGCGTGAATTGGACAACAAGGGGAAGTGCATCTTTTCATTTGAGCAACAATGAAGACTACAGCGTACACGATGAAATCTCCCATGCAAATTTCGATAAGAACAACCTCTTGCTTGAGAAACTTGCAGATGTTGTTCGGCGCAACTGTCAAACGAAGCATCTAGAAATGTGCTATGATGCGAAAACCAGCTTCGTAACAAGACGCTGTAGAAAATCTATAAACCGGGTGAGTACATTCCGAAGCTGAATGCATCTCAGCTTCTTCCCTTCAACCCATCGATTTAACGCGGAATTCCAGAAGCGTACAGATGTGGTAGGGTTTTTCGACAAAGTACATTTGACCACGGTGGCCGATGGAGAACTGGTGCATTCGAATTGTGTTTCAACAGATGCCATGATTCGAATCCGTTTTGATTCTACGGAGAAATGCTTGTATGGCAGGCCTCGTTGGAGAGCAGCAACAGTCGGATAGCTTTTCAACAGCTGTCGTCACTCTGTTTTTGACTCAAAAACCTTTGGGTATTCTCTAGTGATATCCCAAATCACTGGTTCCGACAATCTTATCTCTTGATGCAATTCATCATGGTCCATGTTGACATGAACCGGAACAGCAATGCCGTCTTTCATGACTACACCAGTAGCTCCAATGATACCGGCAATGTACTGAACAACTGAAGCAACATGGCAAGTAACAGTAACAGCATACAACGCGGAGATTCTCTGGACCTTGGTCGGTGAGGTAGGAACCTCAGTGTCGGGTTCAATCCTGGAAGACTTCGCTTGCGGTTCCTCAATTTGATCACCTGGACGACGAATGCCAGGAGAGAAAGGCAATTCTGGTTCAGAGACCTCAGTCTCATGAGGAGGTTGTTCCTGTAGTTCAATGGCTTCTCTCTGTTGCTCTGACAATTCGCTCGGATCGAGGGGTCGTGTAGACGGTTCAATGAGAGCTTCCTCACCTTCCGGGGGATCTTCAAACTCTACCGCTTCTGCTGGAGGTGCAATCTCTTTAACCGTCGTTGAAGCCTTTCCACGGTTCTTCTGCCGAATACCCAATGCTTCAGGACAAACGAAATCGGTGGAATCATCCTCAGCAACACGTGGTTTCCAGGGCAATGCCTGAAGATTCTTGATGGGCTCTGCGTTCCACTGCAATGACGGAGAGAATCGTCGAATGGTACGAACCTTCTTGACTCCATCAGGCAGTGCAACAATGATCTCATCTGCTTCAGTGTCACGTCCAATCCACAATGCTGTTTTCCAAGGAATGTCGCTTGTCTTAGCGAACTTCGGAGAAATGACCTTTGCCTGAACCACTTCACCGAAGCAACACAATCCACCTTCGTAATTCCCGTTCCATTTACCAAAATAGGATGTTTTACCATCCGAAAGGATTAAGTACCTGTTCAATAGCCACTGGGCGTGCTTGACGCACCAGGGGTAAATGACACTGTCAGAGGTCAGTTCAATGTCACGATGTTGTTTTCGTCGTACCCTAACTCCGGGGTTTCGACGAGGAAAACGCCCACAC